ACCAGAATAGATTTGAAATGATTAGCATACACAGAGCTAAACTAAATTTCAATACTACATGTTAAGAAGGTTTAAATTGTTGCAGGAAGGCATACAGCAATAGGAGTTAAAACCAGGATGAAATACGAATCAGAATTGTACCACAATTAATAAAAAAAGAATAAATGTAAGGTGGCATTGAGAGGAAGATGACATTCCTCTCCCTGAATATTCTTCCTTCCCAACGAGATAGACCTCATCGTCTGTCATGACCCACTCACAAAGCCATCCTGGATCCCCATAGCTAGAGTTAATCTCACCTCCTTTGAACACCTCGAGCACTTCACACTTGATCTGCAGCTGTTTATATACTTATCTCATTTCCTTAAGGATTGTAAGCTCTTTGAGGACAGGGTCCATCACTAATTCATTTTTGTATCCTTCAACATCACACCTACTAGACCTTCAGTAAACCTACGCTGGGTCCATAGTCTCAGAGATACGCAATATAAGTAAAACAGGTTCGGGATAGAAACATGAAACCAAATGATTAGAGTGAGAGAAACAGAATCTATATTTGGGGGTGGGGAGGAAAGTCAAAGGAATTCAGCCTAGAAAAGTGAGCTTCGGAAAGTGATATCAAGAGATCTTCAAACATATTAAAGAGGTATGTTAAAAGAAGGCCTAAAGTTCTTTTACTGGAGCAAAAAAAAAAAAAAAAAATTGCTCAGATTTGAATGGAGGCAATATGATCAGGCCTGCTGAAGAATTGTCAGAGTATAGACACCAGGGTGGTGTGTGGTCAACGCCACGCTGTCTTTCATCCTTACAAGTGCGAAAGCGTATGATGACAAGAAGGATTCTGGTAAACTGTTTTGGCAAAAATTACTTGTGAAACAATTGCAAGCTTTTAAGTTTTACGGCTTTTTTTCCCCAAAGATGCTGTTTTAAAGGAGATGATGTTTTAAAGGAGAAGGGGAATTTAGTTCAGGAAGGCACAGGAGAGACTCGAGCCTGGGATTTGGAAAGCAAAACGGGACCGAGCCACAGGAAGACAGCTTTTGATGTCCTGACGATCAAGGACCAGGGCTTAAGGACCAGACTCTTCAATCACGTGACATTTATTGCCCCAGATAAAAAAATACTTTTGTGGATCAGTGTCTGTGGTTCACAATGGCTAGGTTCCAAAATCAGTCTTAACTTTCCAAGGGTTACATTTGGAAGGCTCCCTGCAAGAATGGAGTGGAGCCAGTTTCTAGAAGGGGCAGCTTAATGATTTTCTACTCCCCCACCCCCAAATCATTAAACAGTGTTCCTTTCCCAGAGCCCAAGTTCATACTGAGGGCAAAGGGAATTAAACCAAGAAGCTGAAACTGCAGCTAAGATGAGGGAGTTGCCAAGGGCCTAATTTTAGGTCCTAGCTGCCCCAGCTGACGTCCTGCACTGCTGGCTCAGCCACAAGGACCACAAGCTTGGCCATAATCCGGTGACTGAGTGAGAAGAGTGTTTCCCTAGCCATCTGCAAAAGCAATTAGCTTGCTGTTGGGTGTGTTTTGAGAGAGACTACCAATAATTTCTCCTTCAACAAATGTTTCTTCAGGTGTTCAAGAGTCAATAAGGGAAAATGTCAGCACTTGGCAGAAGTTCCCACATGCTTGCCATTCTAATATTCACGCTTCTTCATTTCAATGTGTTCTCCAAAAGGGAGTTAATCCCGGAATTCCTGGATTTTCATGGCAAGTCACCCCCTGGTTTCCTCTGGCCATAAGATGATTGACACGACCTAGAGAGAGTAATGCTCAGGACGTCTTGACTCAGGCTTTATGAAAATAGACATGGATGGATGGGAGCAATTCTTGCATTTTGTGGGGACTGCCTATGTCACTCTTCCACTGGGGTTTAGCCTGTCCTTACACTCCTCACATATTTTCAAGCTACAGGTTTCATGCTTAAATTATCTTCTTCAGAGGGCAGAAAATAAGAGCGGCATCTCCCAGATCGCAGGGGAAACAGAATGTATTTTAAAGTGACAACTTTGTTATCCTGCAACCAGAATAACACCAGAATAATACAATGATATAAATATAAGCCTCTAAGTGATTCCATACTGACATGTCACCTGAGAGTAAAATTGCTTGCATAATTATGGCAGAGAAACTCTCTTTACAAACTACTCACAAGAGCATGTTTTTATTTTTACACAGTTCTTACACCTGGGGCAGCCTCCCAGGAATGGGTATATGGATTCTGTGTCCCTGCAGGTTGAGAACTGTGATAACTGGCTGGTGCTCCCTGTCTGCAAAAGAGGCTCTTAATAAAGGCTCACAGGCTGGCACTACCAGGCCAAGGGAGTGCATCCGTTAGTAGATGTGCCCTTGGATGTGCCCTTGGATGCGCCAGTGGATGTGCCACTGTCGTCAACGTGCACAAACTGGCCCATACTGCTCCTTTCCCTTCCTCTCTTTTTCTTTCCAATTTTCCTGGCAGATTTGCTTTCTCTGTCTGCTTGTCCCCAGTCCTATCTGTGGGTCTGTCTCTAAACCTCTTTCTACACTCCTCCCACGTGTGCGCGCGTGCACACGCACGCGCGCGCGCGCACACACACACACACACACACACACATACACACACACACAATCCAGCCCCCCCTTCCCCTGTCTCTTGGCGCTGGCCCTTTCATCTTCTCCCTCGGGGATTTGAGATGTCGCTGCAGGAAGTGCTTGTCGGCCGAGGCAGCAGCAGCAGAGCCCTGTGGCTTTGACAAACCTCATTTAATTGGGAGGAAGCCAGGAGAATTTGAAAGAACTGAAACATCCACGAAACTCCTTTTATCAGGCATAATTTAAACTCTGCATGGAAAAACCCCTATATGTATAAAGAAAAGCCAACTTCCCTCCTGCTGTGAGCACTCTTGGTCTCTCCCCCCCCCCCTCCCCACCCCCAAAGCACAGGCAGGCTCCTGCAAGATTCCATCTTTTCATTTTTCTAAAAGTGTCAAAGTAGATTTGGGCTCTGTGGCTGGGTGAACAGAGAAGGAATACAGATCGATCTCTATCTTATACTCGCATGTGCATACACACACACACACACACACACACACACATATTTGCAGCAGAGCCCTGCTGTTGGTGGCTTTGCTTCAGACGGCTAGGAAAAATCAAAACCCAAGTTTCTAACAACACATCAGTTTGGACAGTGGTTGTTTCTTCCTAATTACCCTTCATCAGGCAAAAGCTGGTGCCCAGAAAACTTTGAAGATCCCCAGTGGTTCTCAGTATGTAGAATAATAGGTCCTGGAGGAGGGCAGATGAGAGAAGTTTCTTTAAGTGGAAAGAGGCGTGTGTGTGTGTGTGTGTGTGTGTGTGTGTGTGTGTGTGTGTGTGTGCACGCGCACACGTGCGTGCATGCGTGCCCATGTACACCCAAGCATGTATACTTGCCTGAAGTGGTAGTTAGAAATCCCAAGCCCTAAAGTAGAAAGCAAGGAAGGAGAGCTCTAGGGGCTCAGACTAGGAAGAGTGTGTGATGGGAGTGGGGGAGGGCATGGGGATGAGGTAGGAGTCAAGTACCAGGAAGGGAGTAAAAGTTATAGGTCACCTGGAGTGTTTTTTTATTCCACCCTTATGCCAAACCATGTCCCTCCCCTCCTTCCAAATTCCACTCCAGATTCACCTCCAGTCTAATCTATCTCACTTGAGTTATTCTAGTTCCTCCAAAGAATTGCCTTTAGCACACACATATTCTGTGAACATCTGTAGCTGATTATGCACAGACTTTAGCTGTTTAGATATGATTTGTGCTAATATATGTACAAGGGTGCCCTGTTTCCTCTTCTTCACCCTCTTTTCCTCCCATGTAGGATCTTTGAGGTCAAGGACAAGCCTCTTTTTTCTCCTCTATTTTTATAGCACTTAATATGTTCTTGACACTTAATGGCAACTTAATAAATACTGATGACTGACTCTTCTCACGGGGTTAAATAAGATACATTAACCCTAGCTGTATGATTATGGTTATCTTTGGAGATCCTAAATGATTCCTTTTAATAATAAAATACCTCAAGAAGTCCCAAGCTAAGAGCTTTGGACTGCTGCAGGACAATGTCCTAGATACAACAGGGCTGCGTTTGCAAACCGCGGAGACTCTCGCCAGACGGCAGGTATGTCCAAGGCCCCTGGGCGGTGGCTCCCCACCCATCCCAGTCCCTTCTTCCCAGGATGAGCCCCTAGACCTTCCCTCTTAGCTTTCTTCTCTCCTGCTTAGAACTTGGGAGAACTGTTTTCAGCTGAATAAATGGTGGGTGTTTTCAAAGAAACCCCACCTAGGGATAGTGCCCCCAAACAGCCCTGGGCACGACCACACTGCCCACACCCTCCGCACCACCCTTCCTGGCCACATTCTGAGAAACATGAGGAGAGCACCAGCCACATGACCCCTCAGCAGATTTCAGATTTGGAGGATGACTTCAGGCCCAGGCAGCAAAGCTGATTTCAGGGTAACTTGTGTTTCCCGTGGGTGTCCGGCCGGGGAGGACGCGCTCCTCCCCACAGCGCCCCACCCTGGTGCTTCCCTTGGCAGCATCGGATTACCAATCGAGACAGGCCCAGCTCTCCTCTCTGACATATCCATGTCATCACCTATCTTCTTACTCTCCATGGAAAGAGAAAAGGGGTGGTTAGAGACTTTGGTTTTGCTTCTCCTGGCAGATGTCAGTGAAAGCAAAGAACTCTGTGGCAACTTTCATCTCATCCAGTTTCTAAGTGTGCATATAAGGGAAATGTTTGAATCGTTAACAAGGAGGTTTTGTGTCAGCTCAACGCATGGGGGCTTTTGAGTTTTAGAGACTCTCACGTAACCCTCAAGCAAGACTGGGCCCCATCTTGCTTCTCCCAGCCAAACTGATCTCTAAGTTCACTTCGAGTTGCAAATTCTATGATTCGCCAGTGCTCAGAGGAAACACGTAGACATCGAGACTGACGCGTGTGCGTGTACACACAGACACACACACTCCCTCAACTCACCATCGGGAAGCTGGTGCAGCTGAGACGGCAGGGCGCTGAAATAATCATGAACCAGGGCTTCCTGGGCAGAGACACGGTCTCTGGGAAAGCCTTTCAGCATATGTGAGGCCAGGTCTTCAGCTTCAGGAACCCTGCCCAACCTGGAAAGTGGAAGAGAAAAAGTGTGTTTCCCCAGCAGCCTCCCTTCTGAAAAATAAAAGGGGAGAGAAGAAAAGTAAAGAACAAGAGATGGCTAGAAGAGTTTCAAATACAGTCTTCCTGGGATTAGTAAAGTTGATGGCAAGTAGAAAAATAACTCCACACTGAAACTCCTACCTGTCCTGTTAGTAAGACAAAGGGAGAAATCTCAGGATTCTATCATTCAGCTCCCTGCCCTCCCAGCCTCTGCAGTGCCCCTGGCAGCATGTGTCTGTAAAGGGCTCAGAATTATAATTATAGAGGCAGAAATATATAATTAAGAATTCTTCTTTGAGGGACACAGTAGTCCCCACCAAGCAGAAAAGCCCAAATGAAAATGTGCTCCAAGGGCTGCAAGCATAGGATGCTGGGAGGGGAGAGAGAGAGAGGCAACTCTGAAGGGTGAAGCGTGGGTGGAAAACACTCTTATTTATGATGCTTCTGAAGCTCAGCTCCCAGAGTTATTAGCTAAGATGCTCTCTTGGTTTCCCAAGATAGAGCATAGGAAGAAAGGTAATTAAGTACCCAAATTACAGTAAGGTCAAATCCTCAAGTTGACCTTATGTTGAATTATAAAATTGGAGATAAGAAGATCCATTAGTTGAGCCAACCACCCTACTGTGTGCTAGTAGGGTGGTTGGCTCTGGGAGATACAAGCAAGACTCCATCTTCTAGCGGCTTAGTCTAGTACAAGAGTCAGACACGAGTCAAATTATCCTACACGTGCATAAGTACAATTGTGAAGAAAAAGGTCCAGATACCTGACTTAGAGTGGGAGGAGCTGGTCAGGGAAGGCTTCCCTGAGGAAGTGGCATTTGAGCTGAGAGCTGAGGATTAGGGCAGGGGAGGGTAGGTGATGTAGGCAGATATCTGTGGTGCTCATACAGACCTTCTCTAAATGAGTTTAAAGAAGGCAAGAAAGGCCAGTTGGCTGGCCTGGGACAAAGATTGGGGAATGGGCCAGATATGAAGCTAGAGAGGGTGGCAGGGGCTGATTCTGCAGGTCTTGTGGGTCTTCATGGCTCCTATTTATTTATAGTGTTTGAAAGTCTTTGCAAATCTAATGCCAATCAATTAAGTACGCCCGTCTCTAGAGCCCACAGTCGGGTTTACAAGTGGAAAGCCACTAGATGAAAAACTGTAGGTCCCAAGAGGCAGTGATGTCTAACATTCAGAATTAAGTTGCATGGCCATGCAAATCCCCAACTGGGCAAAAATAGATGGGCTTATTTAACGTCAAATATACACACCAACCTGAAGTGACGAAGAACTGATAACCCCTTCCTTTCCCAGGCGCCATGATACAGTGATGCTGGAAGTCTTAGCCCAGAGTTATAATTTGCCTCATTTTGCATAAGATTTACATAACAAACTTTCAAGGATCTGATTCCCAGGATGTTAAACTGTTTCTACAAACAGATAACTTTACCCTCAAACTCATGAGTAATTGCTTTGTAGTCTTAAGATAAAGAAGAAATTTGCAAATCTCCAGTCTTTGCAAATTTCCAGGCAGGTTAGGAGAGACAGGAACCTCAGGCGGAGGCCTACTCGGTAGCTAGTGGCTTGAAGAAGGGTTGGCGGGTGTAATTTCTCCATCCCTGCCCAGAGTGCCCTGCCCAGGCATAGGTTTTCAGGGCCAGTGAAATGGGAGTTTGGAATGGGAAAGCTGGTACAAATCACTGGGGCGTGATACCAGTCTGGAAGGAGATACAGGGAAATCTTGTGAAAAATTGTAGTTGGTCCACCCTTGCTATAGGGTGTTGGGGTGGAATGTGTGCCTAAGCTTGGGCTGAACACACTCTATGAATTTCCAAGGGGTGGGTGGGTAGATAGGCGGTTATGGTGAGGGGGGAGCAATGTATATATCAGCGTCTGCTTCCACACTCTCACCCTAGTTAGTAGTTTGTTCTCCCCGCACACGCCAACCCATGGACCCCAAACAACTGAACTACTATAGAATTGCTCTGGAGAAGGAGCTGAGGAGTTGGATAAGGAAGGCTAGGGGACTTGTTTTGAACTCTATCAGCATGGCATGCATGCTATTTTTATTCAGACTGTGTTTGTGATGGGTGGCTGGGAAAGCCAGGAGAGGCTGATGAGGGTAGTAGAGGCACATATAGGAAGAACAGGCCACTTTTATCAGACAAATGAAAGAAAACAGGCACTGAACAGTGACACGAGGACTTTTGTTTTAAGACTTTCCTCTTCAACTAACCGACCTTCCACCCCACCCTCACACAAGGTTGTAACAAGGCTTTTAGTGGTATCGAGGTTTGTTCCAGTCCCATGGCCTCCAAACTGTGACCGCCACCACGCACTTTTCTTGCTCCTTAGCTGGCAGAGGTAGCGACTAGGGCAAAGTGTATAAACGAAGGCTTTTCTTCCCATGAGCCAAGTTCATGCCGGCCTTCTTTGTGTAAGTCGAATCTGTGCCCTCCTGAATATTAGCCTTTACGATCAGCACTCATAATAGGACCACCTGAGCTGGACAAGACATTTAATCATCTCTTGCTATTGGCACATTATACTCTATTTGGGAGCTGAGAAAAGAGTCCTAGGAACACAAATATTGCTTCTTTGGGCACAAATGTTAATTTTCTTCCATGTCACATCATTTTGCTTCTTTCTACCATTCTTTGTCTTGCTTACTATCAACTGCCTTTATTGTCACATTTCTACAATTTCCACCCCCTCCAACTTTTACGAGAACAATTCTCCACTGGTTACAAACTCTATTTTAAATATGAAAGTTGGCATGAAAAGCAAACACTCCAAATGTTAATTTGCCTACCAGTACCTTTCCATATGAGCTAAATGTTAATAAATATTATTAGTTAGGCTTGTGATGTTAACTACCAAACATGCCAGGAGTATCTTGCAGAGTTACAAGAACCCACCCACCCAATTAAGGAGACTCTATTAATAAAGATAAAGAATCTGGTGAACCTCTCCTTCTAGCAACATTTCAAGAAGTGAGAAGTATTCCTATGTCAAAATAATACATACTTATTGTAGAACACTTAGAAAATGCAAAGAAAGAAAATTAAAACTCTTTCATCACTCTGAGATAACCCTCTTCACTCAAAGATAATCACCAGTGCTTTGGTGTTCATTTTTTCTTATTTAGTACTTTATTTTTACATAGGTATATATTCTGTTTTACCAAAAAAATGGGATCATAGTCTACATTCTGTTATAACCTACTTTTTTCTACTTGACTATCTTGATCATCTACCTAGAACTTGGAATAGCTTTCTAGGACATAATTTTAATAGCTGCATAGCATTCCATTATGTAGACATACCATATTCTACATAGCCAGACATTTATTAAAGTTGTTTCCTTTTTCTGTTAAGGTGTGAGGGGCTACTGTTAAAATCATGCTGTGACAGATATCCTCAAAGAGAAATCTCTGTATACTTGTGCAATGATTTTCTTAGTATGAATTCTAAGAACTGAAATTCCCAGGTTGAAGGATATACATGTTAAAGTTTTTGATTAAGAACATCAGCTAGTTGTACCAATTTCCATTTCCACCTGCAGCCCAGAAGAATTTTTGTCTCTGGTGCAAAAAAAAAAAAAAAAGGAATTCATTCCAGTCAACCTGAATTGCCCCCGGCCCCATTGCTTACAAAAGTTGTAAAAAATATTAAAATTATAAATCGATCCTAAAAGATGTGCTGGATGTGAGGACACCCGCATTTAATCTTAGAAGTCTAGAATAGAAACACAGACAATAAGAAAAGATAAAAATCAAGCTTTGTGGTTGTGTAAAGCACCATCAACTAGCCATCACTCAACACATCTAAAATCTGGTGGTTCTCAGGGACCTGAGGCAACAGCACAGCCTGGCACTGAGTATAAAAATCTCCCACTGCCATTGCTGCCATCAAACTTGATGGCAGAAGAACGTTATCTGCTTGCAGCACAAAGCTGGCCACTGTGAGTTCGGGTAGGTTCTTTGTTGTTTTCTCCTGGACCCATAGAAAGAGAAAAAGGATAGAGATAGAGCAGACACTCCCCTCCCTTCCTCAATTTTTCAATTTGTTTTCATTTTGAAGTAATTTTAGGTTTACAGGAGAGTCACAGGAGCAATACAGAGAAGGGCCTTATATGTTTCACCACCTTCCCCTCATGTTAAAATTTTTCATAATCGCAGTAACATGACCAAAACTAAGCAGTTAATATTGGCAGAATATTTTTTACTAGCTGCAGGCTTTATTCAAGTGTCAGCTGCTTTTTCATTAATGACACTTTTATTGTTGTTCCAGGAGTGTGGGTGCTTTTTTTTAAGGCTGTCAATTTAGGACAGCCCCAATAAGAAATGTAGCCAACACTAGGAAGAAACAACATCAAAAGAAGCTATGATTTTCTAGTCAAACAAGAAGTGAGTGTGCACTTGCTAGGCCCGCATTAAGCGTGTCATCATCAAGCCTCAGGTGAGGCTCTGAGAGGCACTTATGTACAGTGCACAGATTCGCTGCACCTCTGTGGAAATCATGTAGAAAAGCCAGTGACACCTCGGCTGCTCTTTATCCATCACACTTGCAACCTGATTCAACTGACAAAGCCACAGAGACTTGCACTAGATGAATCCTGGCTCTGTCGCTTACCTAACCTAATGCACTTGACCAAGTTCCTTAACTTGTTTCAGCCTCAGTTTCCTCCTCTTTGAAATGGGAATGAGATTTGTGAGGAACAAATGAGATAATATACGCAGCACCCTGCAATGCACATGGCAGCTTCTCACCTAACATTAGTTCTCTTTCGACGACAAAGCCCTTCCCAGAGCCAAGAAATTTCTCGTGTGATAATCTAGGCTACTGCTGTCCAATAGAACTTTCCATATGACCAAAATATTTTGTATCTACCCTGTCCAATAGGGTATACTACTCGTAGGTGGCTACTGAGCCCTCGAAATTCAGCTAATGCAACTGAGTGATCGATTTTTAAATTTAACTTTAATTAGTTTAAATTTAAATAGCCACATGTGGCTAGTGGCTACTGTATTAGACTACACAGCTCTAGACGTTACTCCTTGTTCTGAGCCAAGAGAAGCCAGGAGTCCTAGCTAAGTCAAAGGTCTTGCTGGGGGCCAGGCCATAGGCAGAGGAGGTAGGTGTTGTGGGTGGTCAGAAAAGCCAGAGAGATATGAAGCTAATTTAAGTCCTACTCAGTCCGAGAAGAAAGGGTTGGTGGGATAACGGCAGGAGGCTGGTGGCACATTCTTCTGCTGTGTGACGGTGCCAAAAGCAGCATCACAGGGTACTAAGGTGGGTTGCAGGTTTGGAGTTACCATTTATTCTGGAAGCCAATAGTGACATGAAAGAAAGCCACAGGGCAGCACTGCTCTCTAGCTAGGGGTTAGGGGGCCTGGCTAGGCTGGCAAGAGGACGTTTGCACATCGTGAAGGAAATGACGAGCAGTAGTCCTCTGGAGCCTGTCTCCAAAAAAAAAAAAAAAACAGGGCATATCAGGTGCCACGGTGCATTTGATAAGTGTGGAGTGTGCGGACATCCTGGGGAAGCCCGTCCCTCCCAATAAGAGACTTTGGAAATCCCTAGTTCTATGTTCTGACCAATTTTACTCTATGTGCTCTGATAGTCACTCTATAAGGAGACTTTTGAAGCACATGAACAGTAAGTCTGGAGAAATCAAACACAATTTAGTTGGGTTAAACTCTACCACGTTTCCAGGAAAGAATAACATTCGAATGTTCAATTAGGATCTCTTCCCCGTCTCCCCACCTGCAAGAGTGCGTTTTTCTTTGACATTTGAGCTCGTTTCCCCTGTCTCTGATGTTTTCCTCACTGCCCTTTTTTGCCTCTTCCTGTATTCAAAAGAAAGTTCCCTAGTTTTAGTCCTCGGTTAGATAATTATCGAGGTTTTTTTTGCCTCTTCACTGAAGCAAAAAGAACAGAGCCTCAGCTAATTACTCTCAGATCAAATAATACTGGTTATTGTAATTGGCCATTGTCCGAAAACAGTGAGTTCTTCTTAGCCCTGAGGTTGCTTGGCACGGCTTAGTTAGCTAACTATTCCGGGAATGTCTCTATTATCTGTTTTACTTTGCAAAAGAAACTAGGGATTTTGTTGAAAGCTGGTAATAAAAGTCTGCCCTGGTCTGAGCCGAGACTGCGTAGAGAGGGCCTGGGAAAGCATGACCTCCATGAATCAAGTCGCTCCCCCTCCAATAGCCACTCAATGATGTTATTTGGTTTCTCTGTGTCGGAGAATAATAAACCCACTAGGTTTTCTTGCAGGCGAACACTCCCTCGTTCTCAGGGCCTCGGGCATGGTTGAGGGGTACAAAACAATTTTAATGACCAAACTCGTTGAAAGTAAAATGGCTCATGGAGAAAAACTAACAGACTCACAGGTGGCTGGCTCTCCTAGAGGCATCTTCCTGGGTCTTAGGGCCCCCAGATGGAGGTACACAGCAGGCTGAGGTCCCAGGAAACATCCCTTCAACCCTGCTGAAAGATAAGCTTTCCAAGGTGGTGCTTACCTGTTCCAGACCTTCTGAAGGCTTTGAGGCTTGGGCAGTGGGAACCATTCTGGAAGGCACATGCAGACACGTTAAAAAACAAAATGACCCTAAAATCCTGTTCCCCCAAATATTACAATTCTAAATGTTCTTCTTGGTTTGGGATAAGAGAGACTTCAGGTATCAGGTAGGCAAACTAAACAATGCTTAAGACCTCTTCTCACTATGAATTTTTTATGATTATGGGTTGAATCACGTTCCCCCAAAATTCATATGTCCAAGTCCTAACCCCAAGTACCTCAGAATTTGACCTTATACAGACATAGGGTCATTGCAGATATAATTAGTTAAAATGAAGTCATTAGGGTGGGCCCTTATTCAATATGACTGGTGTCCTCATAAAAAGGGGAATTTAGACACAGGGACGGACATGCCACGCGGGAAGATGATGTGAAGAGACACCAGGAAAAGCCAGCCATCCACATGCCAAGGAGAAAGGACTAGAACACATCCTTCCAACCTCCCCTTCAGATCAAGCCTCCAGAACTGTGAAACAATACATTTCTGTGGCTTAAGCCATTCAGTTTGTGGTACTTTGTTATAGTAACCCTAGCAAGCTGATACAGTTGTAATATTCAGTAAAGTCAACAAACACTTATTTAGCATTTACTGTGTGCAGAGCATGTCCCAAGTGCTGGGGAGAAAGACAAAAGAAATCAAAAGAAACCTCCCCACCCTTTCAGAGCTTACAGTTTATTTGAGAGAATAAAGCCCATGGGCCTGAAAAGTCATGTGGCAGATGATGGGGCAAAGTGTCAAAAGTGGGAATAAGTAACAGGGCTAATTTTATGTGTCACTTGCAGTAAGAATGGAAGTGAATCCTGGCTTGAATAACTCAAAATGAATGATAATAAAATGTGTCATTTTCTTCAGAGCACTCTTTATGACATTTACATGTTCATACAAGTGCTTCTACTATTCTTGGTATTGACACTATTTAGCCCAAAATAAAACTACCATAAAAGGGGACAATTTCTCATTCGTTCACGAAATACTAATTGAACGCTTAGTCTATGGAAGGGCCATAAGAAGAACTGCAAGGGGTATAAGCTGATGCTCCTTATCAAATCCCTCTGCTTCCTACTCCAATGAGAAAAGACTATTTCCACTCATTTAAAATGATTATGTCTGCATTATATTTTTCTTAGGCCTGAAATGTAGTTGTTTTGGTTTTAAAGAATCCCTTCGTCCAGTTTCTACAGGAATGGAATACACAAAGACTATTTACCCAACAAAAAATTTCATCACAGAATGGCCAAAAAAAAAAAAAAAAAAAAAAAAAAAAAAAAAAAAAAAAAAAAAAAAAAAAAAAGATTTTGATTATATCAACAAATTCATGTTTTTATGTGCACAGAAAAAGACCTCGAAGACCAGATAATGATAGCGGCTACGAGGGCTTAACCTTTTTACGTCCATGTTTATTTTCTTAAATTTATTTTTAAAATAAAAATCTCATGTCGTTTTATAACTTCGAAAGTAAATTCAATTCAAAACGGAATTTATAGTGCTAAAAGTTGTAATGTGAAAGCAGTACTTAAAGAAAGCGATTTAAGCTGAGTTTTCAAGGTCAGATGCAATCAACCGTGAACCACTTTGCTGGCTTTTTATAGTCCCAGGTGGGCACCAAGGGAAGCACTTGTATGTACAGGTTACTTACTCTCTGTTCAGATGATTACGACTAAATTCAAATAGCCAATAAAGATAAGGATATCTGCATTCGTTTAGAATGTATATTTCCAAGCCACTTTCTGCTGTCTATTTACGGTTCTTTGCTGGTCAGACGAAATTAAGATATTTCCTCATTCGGTCATGTTCTAATTTCATTCCTCTCCCATGTTCTGTTTTTCCCATGTACTTAGAGTCTTATGCACTGTTTTTTTGGCCTTTAATATTTTAATAGTGTTTCTAACTTTAGTGTTCTTGTGGAACGTGGGTTTGGAATAAACTGGATAGGATTTGAACACTGAACCCTAGTAGGGTTTGAAACTGCTTCAGTTTCACTCGAGCAAGATATTTTAACCAGAGCCAGCCTATTATTTCCTTGACTCAAGTTGGAGGTTATACTCTCCTCACAAGGATGAAGTGATCCACTGAATTCATGGATTCATTAAGATAATGAATGTAAAGTGCCTACCTGGGGGGCATTAAACAAAATAAATTCTGTTTCTTCCTCCTCTTCCTTTGTGAAGTGATGGTCAATGCAAACCATGTATGGTTGGGACCCTAGACCCAGGTGTTGAATCCACACTATGCCACTTACCAGCTGTGTGACCTGACGGTGTTGCTTAACCTCGCTGGGCCTCAGTTTTCCCATCTGCAGAAGGGGGATAATTACAGCTCCGACTGCACTGAATCGTTATGAGAATTAGGATAGTGAATGCAATATAAGTATTTCTTCATGCTTTGCCTCTTTTCTTTCTGCCTTTTTTCTCCTGTCTGATGTAGCCTGCTTTTCTGTCTCCTTTCTCCTCTCAGGTATTTCTGCCTTATTAATTTCCATGGAAACCTCTACAACTTGTTGCATTGTACCGATAATATACTGTGCTGAGCACGATGCCTGCATGTGGTGGCCCTTAAACGTTTGTAGAGACTACAGGGGAAAGGTAAATGTCAAATGATGCATTAGTAGATACCAGAAACACCAAATAGCATGATCGAGCTATAGGTCAAACATCTTTTGTAGGGGTGGATAGACGTTAAACATGGCACCGACCCCAGGAGAAAGGAGAGACTCCTGACTATCACCTGTTCCCTCTACCTTCTCCGTTTGCTCGCAAGGATCAAGGCCTGGCCTTCCCTCAAGCTCTTTTAAGCCTGGTTCAACTTCTTTTGAGTCCTCAGTGTGGGCCAGAGGCATGTTTCCTAGCGGTGTGGGGCAGTAACACAAACACAACCCCGGGCTCAAATCTCCTTTCTGCCACTTATGAGCTCAGTGATTTGAGGTAAATTATTTAATCTCTCTCAGAAGTTTCCGAATCTGTAAAATAGAAATAATTTTCCAGTTGCTTGGGAGGATTAGATAAGATTAAGCACTTGCCATGTAGTAGGGGCTCAATAAATGTTAGTCTTACTCCTTTTTTCTTCTTGTTTTTACCTGTCATTTTGGAGAGGTAGCATGGCGTGACACAGTGGTTCTCAAACCAAGCTGCCTATTAGCATCCATCACCTGGGAGAATTTTGAAATGAAAGGAAGCTCTGGTGCCATTCCCCAGAGAGTCTGATTCGCCAAGCCTGGTCCATTGCCGTGTTGTTGTCATCGTCTTTAATGGTCTCTAGATGTTTCTAGTGTGGACACTTGTCTAGCAAGGAGGGCCAAGTCGACTGCTCACCAGCAACTCCCACGCACTTGTCTGAGGCTCATTTCCTCAAGTTAGTTTGTTGTGAGAATTCAACTAATCAGTGTATGTAAAAGTTGCAGAACATAGTGTCTGATGCATAGGTTTTTCAAGGATGTGAAAGAGAAAGCATGATAAGGAAAAAAATCAGTAAAGAATGACCTGTTAAGAGTTGCCCCAAGATGCAATGTAACAACTTGAACTTAAGGTTCCATGTCTCGCATAGACTGTGCCTGGCTCTCTTCCCACATCTATTCTGTAGCTGCATTCGTTGAGATAGAGGAGTTGGTATGTCCAGCGTCAATCAGGTTGTTGTTATGAAGCCAAATCAAAGTCCAAGGCCTGTTTGTGGCCTGTCCTCACACTCTTATGCAGATAACCTGATGTTGAATGACCTTGCCTCTATCGCACGGATTTTTTTTTCTCAGTAGTTAAGCTGCAAGCAATCAATGAGAGAATGATCCACAAACAGATAGGCATTGTACACAGCACCATTTCAAGAGCAGTCTGTTTCTCTGGCTTCAACAGTCTCTAAAAATAATAGATCTGTAGGTAGCTTATTTCCCTTCTCCTTCCAAAGATGATAGTAAATCATTAGACCAGATTTTTCTCCAACTTCTTCTGAAGTTCTATTTAAAAGGGCTCTCATCGAAGTTCAATTGGAATTTGAAGTAGGAAACGGAAACTGCAAAGGAAACTTAAAAAGCTGGACATTTTAATTTCTCCATTAAATACAATAAAATTAAAATGAGGGCAGGGCTGCTGCTACCACAGTCAAATAATGCCTTTTTCCATAGATGTTTAAGAACACTCGTTTCACCACTGATTCGAGTACGGTAAACTCAGTCAACAGGGATTTGTTGGCTGATTGATAAAACGTCACCAGGATCATTTCGAGTTTTACTTAGAGGTAAAACATTTTCTAGTTACCATGGTCTTGCCATGACCACCCTATAAGGTTATCTTATAGTGCAGTCTACTGAACTACACCTCTGGAATTTCTCGAATATAATGCATTCTCAAGATACCATATATTTAAATAGTTGATAATGTTGTTAGCCTTATTTCACTATCTTAAGCAGTAACTTTAAAACTGCACTGTAGTTATTCTGTAGTTATTCTCCTGTCTCCACTGCCCCCGACCCCACATACACATACTTTTGCCCTCACGGCTGCTCGCCTCTCTCGTCTTCAGACAGCTGGCTTGGAAGCGTCCTTAATCTTTGGCTCAAGGAGTCTGAACCTGGCTCTTCTGGTGCTTTATATTACCAGGACTGAGATTCCTGTTGGGGCATCATCAGGATGTGCCTCGGGTGTGCCTTGGCATTCGAGCTTGGCACTCCAACTCATATTTGTGGTTTATCACTTTTCTAACCCTCTATGGGTTAGAAACCTTTCTGTGGATTCTAAGAAAATATCCCATCCTCCGAAGCCTATTTCTAAGGCAGTGGTCTCGGGAGAGGAAGGCCAGGCCTTGATCCTTGTGAGTGAATGGAGAAGGTGGAGGGAATGGGTGATAGTCAGGAGTCTCTCCTTTTTCCTGGGGGCGCTACCATGTTTAACGTCTATCCACCTCTGCAAAAGATGTTTGGCCTATAGTTCGATCATGCTATTTGGTGTTTACGGTATTTACTAATGCATCGTTTGACAACATTTACCATTCCCCTGTAGTCTC